ACCTTGGGTTTCTGCTTCACTTTGGTGACAAAGGATCTGAAGGAAATCAATTCAGCCAACACGCTCCTTTTTTTGCAAATTCAGATCCTGATATGCCTGCTGTTCCTGTTCCTGCAGCACAAGTTCATGATTGGGTTCTAGAGAATATGGTCTCATCTTTGGAACATATTTCGGAAAGGATTTCTCCAAAAGAAAACGGGCCACCCAGTTCCTCAGACCAAGATGTTCCCATGGCTGATGCCTGCACAAGTTCAAACAAGGGCTCATCATGTGTCAGAGGCCCAAGTTTTATTGAGGGGATCTCTAAGTCTTCACTTGTAAAGCGAACATCTGATCTTAAGGGTTCTTCTGTAAAGGTTGGTTCATGAATCATAAGCCATATTTTTATTTTTTCTTGTAACTAGTTTATAAAAATGTAAAATCCATTCTCTTTTCCTCTGATGTCTGTCCTACATTTACGGGATGTTTCATATTTTAACGCTTCTAGAAGTTCAGGAGCTGGAACCAGAAAGAATGAAATGAAGAGAACTCAATTCATAATAAGACACAACAATCAAGTCATTATTTCTATTGAGCTTCTAATAACTTATTAGGTACATGTTATAGACATGACGTGATTATCAAGATGTGAGTTGTTTAGTGATTGCATGCCACATTGGGGATTCGCTCTTGGGGCTGTGAGCGTGCACCTGTTGTGTTATGTGAGTGATGGGTTGAAGGTTTTGCTATGCTATATTTTGGTTTCCAAATTGGCTAACTGTTCCATAGATGCATTTTTTCACTTTTATTTATTTATGTATTTATTTTAAGTTTGGAGTCTGCTGAGTCCTGCTATTATGCATTTAAGGAAGGGAGGTAGCTGCTTATTCAGTTTGATCCTAATCTTATTTATAAAGATCATTGAACTTAATAATGCACTTGGTTAACAAAATTTGTCAAGAATGTCAGCTTTATTGTCATCTTTTCTCAACATGTTCCTTTACATGCTTTGTGCGTAAAAGCGGTGAACTAAAATTGCAGTGTTCCTTCTAAGATGTATATTGGCTTGGTGGTTACTTGTTTGCAATTTCAGGTTTTAAATTGCCACGATTCAGTTATCTACATATTAGCACCTCTGAGATATGCCACAGTTTATGGATGCTCAGATGCTACAATTGTTCTTGGAGCTGTTGGAAAGGTAATAGGAAAGGCATTTGTATTTATGCTTTGGATGTTGACCGTTGCAGTGATATCTGTACTTATTCCCTTATATATTGTTGGATACTGAAAAGGTTACACCTGTGGTGCTGATGTTGATAGTAGAATTGGAAATAGTTTTCTATCTCTAGTAAATTTAAACATATCCGAATGATTGACTTGTGGTCTGTAAAGGTCTGTGGATTTGTTTATCCTTCATCTCTGAAAATTTGGTATCAGATAAAATGGTAGAGTTTGGTTACTTGATGTTTCGCGGTAATGCTAATAACTGATATCTTCAGTTCGACTTTGCAAGTATTCATATTGCATTTCATTCCCACTAAGCTTATGCATGCCTAGCCACTTTCTGTTGGCACTCTTTTTTACCCTTTCCTATCATGAGTACAAAGTTTGCAGTTGACTTCTGAAAGTCAATGAAATGATTATGCAAGTTTATAACACAATGAAAAAGAAGGCTTTTGAATTTTGTTTGTCTGGTAGCTTGTATAATGGGTTGAATACTCTCGAACAACTACAGATAATTACTCTTGATCTCTGTTTGTGAAATCATAAGTTGACTGGTGTTCCTGTGAATTACCTAGTATGCTTCTTAAGCGGTGGTTATGCAAAGTTTTATCTTGTAGTAAGTTTATTCAATTTTGGTTGAAAGCTTTTGCACAACTTGTTTTTTAGGTTACAGATCTTGCATAATGGTTTAGTTAATCAAATGTTATAACTTTTGTTATGTCTAATTGTTAGGCCTGATGTTTTTCCCTTTAGTGAACATTGGAATTAGTCCAATGTCTGTATGTTACACTAAACCTGTCTTTAGAAAATTCAGGGGCATTCTCTATTTCAATGTATGATTAATTGCTTTAGACTGGACAGCCTTATTCTAAATGCTAAATATCCCTATTTGCTTGGACAGTCTGGTGATTATAATATTATCTGAAAACCAAAGACTCCTTGCAAATACATCTGGCCAACAACTATGCACTTCTATTTAAATGGCCAGTCTTAATTTTAGCATTTCTTGAGCTTTTATGAAGCAGGAAAATCATGTTTTGACCCCATACCTATCTGTCTATTGACTTATTACTGTCATGTGAAGTGGCCAACTAATTACTGTTTTGCATGCAATGAACGGGTACTTATGTCACCTGGTTAACTTGAATCTTATAGCTTAGATGTCTAATGTCTCTTACAGGCTGTTAGAATCGAACACTGTGAGCGAGTTCATGTGATTACAGCAGCAAATCGAATCTGCATTGCTAACTGCCGCGAATGCATGTTTTTCCTTGGAGTCAACCAGCGACCACTTATTGTTGGTGATAACCATAAGCTGCAGGTGAATCTTGCCCTTAATAGTTGATTGCGCAATTGTGTTTCTAGCCAGTTCTCATGCAGTTTAATTTTCACACTTTAATCTACATTTGATTGAGTTCCCCCAATTACTGCTACGCTTTATCTTCAGCGACTTATATTAAGGTGGATTCGTTTTGTTACAACCAATCTTAATGTGGGTTTGCTAGTATATTGGTTAAACCTGTTTGTTTTTTTAGTGAATCTCCATGACTTTTTTCGGTAATTCGTATATGCATCCAGCTTAAACAATATGTTTCATTGACATGTTATTGGCCACTCTCTAGTTCTATTGTGATTCGTATCAAGAGAAGGGAACTTTCTTTCCGTTCTACATTTGATAGCATGCCCCCAGATATCATAGCTCTTGATCTATCTAACATTCGAGCATCTAGGGTTTCCTTTACTCTTTAATTTGTTGAGTTAAAAAAAAAAAAAAAGAAACAAATGTCATGTGAAACTTACCAAGTTATAGTCAAGATGCCCTTGCTACACAGGCGCACATACTTTTAAATTGATCTTTGCTAACAGCCTTGACGCATATGGTTGCTATTTTTTTTATTTTTGAATAGTGGTTTGCATGCATGGTTTTGTTATGTTAAACCTTTGGTGTCAAATCGAATACAATACGTCTTGAAGAGTAAACAAAATTGAAATTTTTTACTGAAATGTAGCATTAATTTCTTCGATCCTAATAAGTATTATATATTGTTGTGATCATAGTTTTGTGTTTTATTTTTCAAGTTCTAATGAAGATTTAACAAGCTCTGATCTTTGTTTTCACCTTTCGACTTTTATCAGGTGGCACCATACAATACATTTTACAGTCAGTTGGAGGAACACATGAAGGAAGTTGGGGTTGATGCTACCATCAACAGATGGGATGAGCCCCTGCCACTTGGAGTGGTTGATCCACATGATTCATTATCTCACCCAGCAGGTGTCTCTGAGGCTCAGGCCGAGTCCGCTGCACACTTAGACGCTGACCAGTTCACAAATTTCTTGGTATTATAATTTTTACAAGCTTTTAATTTAAATTTGGATAGTGTATTAAAGGGTTTTCTGAAATAATAGTTTTTCATTGGAAATTAAATAGAGAAAAGCCTCTGAAAAGCTCTACCAACAAAGTATTTGGACAAAGTCACGCACATTAGGGGCATTACAATTGTATTTATGAGTATGTTTCTTCATTTGGTTGGCTTAGGGTGGTTGAGATGGCAATGGTTGTACAATTACTCATTTTCTTTCTGAATTATCTAGTTACATCCTATATTTCTCTTTTATATTCAGATTCCAAACTGGTATGGAGGTGAATCGCAGGGCTCCACAAAAGACAACCCATTTCCATTACCAGATGCTTACATGGTTTCCCAGCATAGAAACGTATGTTTACTCCGGCTTAACACTAGTGTAGATTTTTATTTTTATATTTGGGTTTAGTCATTAGATATTTTCTTACTGTTTTACTAAGAATTCCTTGATGTTTGATTGAGGTGGTCAATGTTATTTATGTTTTAATTATGTTAACTGTTTCTCCTGCAGAACAATCTTGGGGAGGTAAAGCAATTATTGAAGGAAGCACCTCTTGAAGAAAATAGAAAGCGGGAATTATCGACTGCTCTCCACGTATATTTTAAAGACTGGTTATATGGTAATGTTCATTATTACAAAAGTTTCCTCACGTTGACACACGCATGCTAGAACATAGTATTTCATTGGAACATCATCATCAGCACTTTGCACAACAAAGTTAGTTGGCATATCCTATATTTTGAAACTGCATTTTCAAGCGACATGTACTGCTGTTTAACGTTCTGAATAGTATATTATTTTTTAATACCCTCTTTTATGTGGCCTTATTTGAATCATCACTGCATATTATTGAGTTGAGATTGTGCCAAATACATACCATTATATGTAATTTCATGAGCTTTTATTTGACAGCTTCTGGAAACATCCGTCAGCTCTATTGCCTACAAGGAGAATGATTTTATGCATCATAATGCCATAGAACAAGAGCGGTGCAGAAAGAAGCTTGCTGTTTTATCCTTCAATCCTATCATGCTCATCGTGCCGTTGGCAGCTGCGGATCAACCCTAAGTACTCTGGAATGGTACCCTGCATAATTTATGCATTGACACGGTGCACAGGATGGGATCAGAATACATTTGCTAATCTCATTGTAATATTTTTTGGGTAAAGAAAATAAAATCTTACTGTAATATTTTGTTAACCTAGGTTCACACCCTTGTGAATTTTCCTTTTTCCTCTTTCGTGGGTCTAGAATATTGGATCTCGACTCTAACCTTCGAGTTTCTCTCCTTTTCGCGAGGTTTTGGTTGTTAGCTTTATAATTCTACATCATATGAATTTTATTTTGTAGTTGGAACGTCATCGTGTGTTGGTGTAGATTATCGTCATGTTCTTACTGGTTTGGAACCTGAATAGGTAGCAAAAACCAGTTGAATGATGAATATGTATGACATTTTATCATGATCTGAACTTATACAGCTTGTTGCAGAGCAGCAGATGCCTCAAAAATCTCTCCCTACTCAAATCTCTTGATGGGGTTGGAGAGATCTGCAAAACTTTCTCATAAATGTATGCACCGCATTCGGGTTAGCTGGCTGCGAAAATTGCGAGTATCTTCTCTGCTTGATCGGGAAAGAAGGTGATGAACAAATATGCACCTGCCATTTGATCAGAACAGAGAAAAATATCACCTCATGGACCAACAGAACAGAAGTGCTTTTAAGGTTGTTCAAAGGGACTTACAGATCAGTACTGTTCCAAGTACAGCTGAGATCTTTCCCTGAACAGTGACTAATCCGGCTTTGCCGGCATCTTGCAACTCCGTCGAACCAACAGAATCGAATTCTCCTGGTGTAGCAAACGGTCGCATTAGATCCAAATAATCTTTTTAACAGATCATAATCCAGAGAACGAAAAGACATTGGAGCTAGCTCGAATCCTAACCGGGTTTTACGCTTTGAAGACCTGATGTTATACACGCTATGTTCTCAAAACCTACTTGCTCCAACTTATTGGCAGCAGCAGCAGACCTTCAAATTAAAAGGAAACAAAAGGATCTTGTCAAATGGTTTATTCAACGCTACTTGCAACGCTTTTGGTTATCTGAAAGCGCGTTGCTAGGTGAAAAACATAGCAGCTAACATATGAAAAAACTTACCTCAGTCCTTCCTGACACACCAGTAACAATTTACTTTCGGGTGAGAATTTGGTTTTTACTGACTCTACAAATTCAGGGTTAGGTTTCGTAAAAGGCAACCCATAGAAGAGACCAGAAAAATTGTTGTGGAGAGTCCTCTTTATGATTGTTCCTGCCCATAATTCATCATTAACAAAATCAAATTCCATTTCGATTCCGAAAATCATAAAATGCTCAAATTTAATACAAAAGATAAAAAATTTAAAGATCTTCAGATGATGACGAAAAGAATGAACGGTTCTAGTTATTATTATATAAAAATGATGCCACGTTAGTGAGAAATGAGTTGTCCAAGAAAGAAATGCTTACCAAAATCATTGTCTTGGTTTTCAATGAAGAGGGGCACATGATGGCAAGATTTGATATGAGCTCGTTCATACTGAGATTTGTCCCGGACATCAATGACTGTATATCCCTCAACTGCAACAAGTTCTTTTGCTTCTTCTGCACTTACAAAATCCACTTCTGCTCTGATTGAGAATTTTCGTCGATGGCGGGTTGGTTGCCCTAAGATGGTTCCTCCACCATGAGTACGAGTGTCAAGTTTCAACCAAGATGTGCAGAAATTGCTGTCAAAAAAAATTTCTTACCCCTTACTTTCATTTTCCTTTGTGTGCGTAACAATTTCACTAGATTCACTAACATATATTACCATGATACCAATTGAGTTCAAAGTGATCCAAAAGAAACAAAATGTAATAAAATAAGGAGTAAATTTTGTAATGCATATGCGATTTGAACCTAAACAAGTGCTAGGTTTCTGGTACAATTTCAAAGTGCTGCTCAAAAAGCATTTGGAAACAGGTGTTGTCAAGATTTCGGAGTTGAGCCAGCGGCCCACTACTAAATTACTAATCACCTCGCGATAGTGTTCCAACTGAACCACTACACGGTTGGGCAGCTGTTGGCCTCTGTGCAACTAGCTAGAAATGGAACCATACAATGTAAGTTGTAATTTTCCTATGTGAAGTTTCCGATGTGAGATTCTATTCTCCAACATGCGCTTTTCTGAAAAGCACTTGGAACTAGGTGATTCTCCAGAATTCATAATTACTTTTAGCTTTTCCTACTAAGCGCCATCGTAAACGTTTTTGGTAATCTGAAAACGTTTTGACACCTCGCTCTTAAACAAGCTAAAAACACATCTGGCTAGATGAGTAGTTGAATGTGTTTCTGTATCTCATAATGCTTCAAAAGAGCAAAACGTTCTGTTGAAGTTGTTCAATAATCTTAGTTTTCTACATTTTCTCAGCAACCAAACAAGAAACCCACCATCGAGAATCCAAGAGAGTATTCAGAGTAGGAACTTTTCCTAGTAAAAATGCAGTCTTTCCAACACGAAAACAAAGAAAGACAGGGAATAAGTTACCTTGTGGAGGAGAGAGTTGTGGAGCAAGAGCCAATCCCTGCCATCGAAGGAGTTTCTGGAATCCTCAATCTTTTGAGTTTCTTCTCCCCCGTTACTTGTGCACTCAATCAACAGCCAATAATGGCCTGAGAAATTTATGTGCGGCAATGGGTTTCTGCCACGTGGCAACTGGTATTGGATATTAGATATATATCCAACCTTTTGCTCTTCGTCTTTTCTCGCTTTCTTGGATAAATTTTATACAACCTGTTCTTTGAGTTAAACACCAGATTTAAAACCAAAAAAAAAAAAAAAAAAAGTAATATTAGGAAGATCAAATTTTAAATAGAATTTTGTAAATCAAATGACGTGTTTATTGATAATTAAATTATCACTTAAGTGTTAATTAATGTAATTATTTTTTATTGGTGAAACATTATTTGTTTTGCAAATTTGATTTAAAATTTTAGTCTTCTTAACATTACCCAACAAAAATTTTCTTAACCCCACAAAATTGTTACGTAATTCCCAAAATATCTTGTAGCCGTTTCATGTAACTGTGTTTATGACGGAATTCCTCCTTAAGATCATTTCGAACGGGAGCTGCATATTTTAAATGTAAAAATCTACGTAAATATGATTGTACTTAACAAAAAATTACAGTTAATTGCATTATTTTTTAACGTGAATGTCACTTCATACTGTTTCTGAACGTGATGTCACTGTTTTTTTCTTTTTCCTCCGCTGGCTACTGTCTCTTTTTCCTCCTCGTGCTGTTGACTCTTTTGCTTAGACTTCGAACTCCATTACTTTTTGAAGGAAAAAAACGCTTTTACCACTTGCTTTAGCGTAGGAAAGAAATTTGAACTTTATGCTCAAGGAAGAATTCGGCATAAAAATTTTTGTTGTCATTAATATTGAGATGGCCTGCTTTCGGTGTTTTCATTAGCTTTTCATTGACTCAGTCAAGCATTTGATTAGTGAAAATGGAAAAGATCAACAAGACAAAAGTTGCCTTGTTATTTATTTTTATTTTTTTTAAATTAGTTGATGATTTTGTTATGACGGTCTACTTTTTCGGTAGCATAAAAAACTCAGATACATTTCAACCTCTTTCTAACCACCATCGTACGATTCATCAATACCAATAATCAATTTCATACCGTGTCGTGTAAAATACGAGTCTGAAATTTATTCTAGCCATCGGTGCACCATGTGGTAATTCAAAAAAGTTAGCTTCTTATTAACGCAACATATTATCTATATATTACGTAAAATGAGGATCCTATGGCTATTTGCAAGATTGCATGTATAAAATTTCTACAGAGAGAGAGAGTCAAGAGAGATCAGGTCCATCAGGGGGATATGATGGGGTTTTTGTCATTCATCTGTTGCTGCCTTCATCATCGTCCTCGTGTCTGCGGCGAAGGACCAGCAGGAGCTGCAGGAGGAGGAGATGGTGGCACAGTGGGCAGCCCGAGGCAGCCTCTGAACACTGAATCTCCGGTAGTGCCAACTGTGGTTCCCCACTTCCCCGTCAACCCTAATTTCTCTCGTTTGTAAATTATTTTATTCAATAGGTCAACTTTCTGTTTTTCCCGCATGCTTTTTGGATCCTGTGTGTAAGGTGGTGGCTGAGTTTCTGATGCTATATATGTACACCGTGAGATGGGTGAGGATCAGAAGATGAATGGAAGATTCTTTCTTTCTCATTAAATATTTGGTTTATATGTTTAATTTCGCTCTAATTCCCAGGAAGAAGGCAAAAATGAGAAACGAAAACTGGTTCATGACAGTTAGGATCTTCATTTCAACTCACAGTGTTCTAGATTCAAACCTTTCCCCTTCTTTTATTGTAGATTACTGTAAAATACCATTTCTACTATAAAAAAAAAAGCCAAAATTCATTTGGTTCATAGATTAGAAGTTTAAGAATGGAAATGAAACGACTAATGTTGTTTAGCCTGTGTTAGAATGTCATATCAATGTCGTCAATTTTGCATGTCTAAATAGCATTCGAGAATATAAACGATGTTGCATTCGCGCATTTTTTCTATAGACAAGGGATACGATTCCATATCTCACATTCTATAATCTGTTTATTTTGCACATACAAATAGACACACCTTCTTAGCAAATTAAAAGGGATTTAATAAAAATCATGAGTTTATTTCCTTGACAAATATAAGAGAATCAACCCAAGGAATTGCGTCGAGATATTTGCCAAATGCTTCGAATCAGAAAGAGAACATGTTTTATTCTTGTTGCGATTTTTACTAACTCACAAGAACCGGAATCAAAACGTGTCTAAATTTTGAAAAACTATCGTATAAAACAATATATTTTTGCAACTTACTAACACCAATCCAACAGCACGAAATAGAAAATTTATTCAAGACGTCCATCCAAAGGTCCAAAAACATAAATCTGGACATCAGCGAAAGAGAACTAAGAGTAAGATTACATCTCCAGAAATACAGCCAAAGTTGTGGAGGATAGAGTTGTACAGCAAGAGCCAATCCCTGCCATCGTCGGAGTTTCTGGAATCCTCAAACCCCTTGAGTTTCTTTTATCCTCCATCACTTGTCTACCCAATCAACAGCCAATAATGGCCCAAGATATTTGGGTGTGGCAATGGGTTTCTGCCACGTGGTAATTGTTTTTGTTTTTGTTTTTGATAACAACTGCTTGTTTGTGATGTTATGCTTTGGTTTATATTTAAAGTTAATTTATCGGAGCTAAATACAGAATTATATTTTTAAAGAAAAAACTTGCTACCGAATTACAAAACATTGCAACTAGATATATTCCCAATCTTTTCCTCCTCTACTTTTGCACTTTTTGGGATAAATTTTATACCTGTTCTTTGAGTTTAACACTAGATAAAAAGATGACATTTGTCACTGTTTTTTTTTTTTGTTGTGGAATGCTGCTGTTTCCTTTTCCTCCTTGTGCTGATATCTCTTTTGCTTCGTCATCAAAGCATCTCCACCAGTTTTAAGCAAGAGCAAGGCAAAATTATAATTGTTTTTATGCAAGTCTACTCGTTTGAGAAAATGAAGGATAACCTCAAGGGCAAAGGCTATTAACAAATATATTTTTTTATGTTTTATGCCTTGTAATCGTGTAATTAGTAAGTTTGTTTTTTAAAAGTAAAACTCCGTATTCAATTCCAATAATCTAACTTTAAATACAAATCAAAGCACAGCATCACGTACACACATAATTAATTAAAAATAAAAGACGAACAAAGAAGATAATTAAACTTTGTAAGTTTATTAAGCGTGTGATAAAAAAAATTTGTATTTTAAAAAAAAAAAATTCCTTCAAATTAATCCAGGCCGCCGATTGACTAAATTGTGGTCCATAATATTAAGATGGCCCAATTTTGGGTGTTTTCATTTTCTAAGGATATGATCAAAGTGGTGAATTTGTAAATGGAAACAGAAAGGGAGGGTAATATGTACTTGTGACTCACCGTCCAGCATTGACGAGTGAAAATGGAAAAGGCCAACAAAGTCAAGAGTTCACCTTGTTAAAATGATGATCCTATTGCTATTTGCAACACTCAAATTGAATGTAAAAAATTTGTAGAGAGAGAGAGAGAGAGAGAGAGGTCAGGTCCATCAGGAGGATTTAATGGGGCTTTTGTCTTTCATCTGTTGCTGCCTTCATCATCGTTCTCGTGTCTGCGTCGAAGGATCAGCAGCAGCAGCAGGAGGTGACACGGCGAGCAGCCTGAGGCAGCCACTGAATTCTGAATCTCCGGCGGTGCCAATTCTGGTTCCACACTTCCCCGTCAATCCTAATCTGTGTCGTCTGTAAATTATTTTATTTAATCGCTCAACTTTTTGTATTTCCTGCATGCTTTTTCAATCCTGTGTGTATGGTGGTGGCTGAGTTTCTGAGGCTAAACATGTACACCGTAAGATCGGTGAGGATCAGAAAGTGAATGGAAATTCTTCTTTCCCTTTAATTACTTGGTTTATATATATAATTTCACTTTCATTCCCAGGAAGAAGGCAAAAATGAGAAACGAAAACTGGTCGCGTGGACTGTCCTGATAGTTAAGGTCTTCATTTCCAACCCACTACGTTCTAAATTCAAAGTATTCCCCTCTTTTCTTGTAGAGTACATTAAAATACCGCTTGTACTAAGAAAACAAACAACAATCATTTGCTTCATAGATTAGAAGTTTAAGAATGAAAATAAAACGAGTAACGTTGTTTAGTCGCATAAAACAGATCAGATTGTTGAAGTACCATCTAATACAGGTGACCTCCACATACAATGATAGAGCAAACCTGTATTAGAATCTCACAATGTGGTCAATTTTGTGTGTTTAAATAGCATTCGAGAATGCAAATGACGTTGCATTCGCACACTTTTTCGTAAGGGATAAGAACCCACATATCGCATTCTATAATGTGTTTCTTTTGAACATAGAAATAGACACACCTGTTCAGCAAATTAAAAGGGATTTAGTAAATGATGAGTTTATTTCCTTGACAAGTATAAGATAATAAACCGAAGGCGTTAGGACGAATCACAATCAAGCAACGAAATTTGAATTCAGAAAGAGGACATGTTTACTAACTCACAAGAACCGGAATCAAAACCGGTCTAAATTTTGAAAAACTCTCGTACAAAACAATATATTTCAACAGCACGAAATTGAAAATTTATTCAAGACGTCCATCCAAGGTCCAAAACATAAACCTGGACGTCAGCGAAAGAGAACTAAGAGTAAGATAACATCTCCAGAAATACAGCCAATTCAAGAAACAAGCGTTCCACCTTTTCATCAGTTGAGTTTATGAATCAGCAGTAGATCTTTTCTTGGTGGTGTAAGGATAGTACTCCTTGCCATTATCAATTCTCGTGGTCTGGCCGCCAGCATCAATGAGCGCAGAAGTGACCGCCAGGGCTGCTCCAGCAGAAATTGCAGTTGAAATGCTCTTTCCTGTAAAATGGACAGCAAAATAATACATGTAATTGAGAACAAGTACCTGCTAGCAAAGATTTCAACTTGAAATGGAGAGTCCAAAGGGCCAATGTATTTCTCCCATGAAATAAGAGGTCAACTGCAGATGCTAAATAATCAATATGAATACAAACCAATCCGATAATGCTAGCAGCAGGCATTGAGTGGAAAAATATTCGGGAAGCACACACACAGATGCAGTAAACAAGGATTAGAAAATCAGATACAAATCTGATCATGTGTATGGAGACCTACATATCAATTATGCAATTTATATGAGCTGAAACTGAAAGTAAGTAAGAAATGCTTATGGTGCCGTTTTCGGACAAAAAGATGCTTTGTATCTCAGATCCATCTTGATGGATTGCAAATTCCTAAGTAATTACTCTACTTTTAAGTTTAGAAACGAAAAAGTGAAAAATTAATGTATGCTCTTCAAATTCAAAATTGACTTTAGGGACAGGATCAGCCTCATATATTCATATAATAATCAACATAAATTTTAAACCTTTACACGCAATGTCTCAAACTAGCTCTGGCATATGAGAGAGTATCATTGGAACACCAAGTTCAAAGCTTATAAGCACAGACAACATTAGCCATTCAATGGGCTATAATCTATTACCATTTGTGTAAATTAAAGAAGCTGATGACCCTAAACTCAGATTTTACACATAAATGGATATTTTGTTGAACAAAAAAAATTCACGAAGTGATATCTATTTAAGGATGAAATATTGTAGGATGAGAAGAAATGTACAATTGTATACAAACTAAGTAGGTTCATGTGAAAGTGAAAAGTCATTTCAAAAATGTTTCTTTCCTTAGACGACCATATAGCCTTGACAACCTAATTACTAAGATAGTTTCTCTTAGTTGGAAATGAGCTCTTACATAAACATTTCATTACCAATATTCTCTAAGTTCTCTTAGATTCTGCGTCCAAGTATTAAACATACAGTGACATGTTGCCATACTGCTTTTAATGTTTACAGGATTCACACAATATATCCACAAAGATAATATGTGATGCGTTTCTGCAAGAAATTTATTCTTCTAAGAAATACAAACACCTTGTTTCATGCCAAACTCAAAGGAATAAATAGAGAGTTCCTCTATTTCATATGACACGAAATAACAAATTACTCTGTCGTATCTTTGTATGGTTACAACTCTCACTCTCTTGCTGAACATTAGTTCACATGATACATCTACCATCTTTAAGAATCTACAAATTATTACTGGTCTATCAATATTCCATACATCTATCTTTGTATGGTTACAACTCTTACTCTCTTGCTGAACATTAGTTCACATGATACTTCTACCATCTTTAAGAATCTACAAATTATTACTGGTCTATCAATATTCCATACATCTATCATACACCAAAACTCTGTCACTCTATCTCTTGCTAAAATTACCCTATTTCATTTATTAAAAAAAAAAAAAAAAAATTAAAAAACTATCTTAAAGGGTGACACATCTTAATAGCCAGCAGCAGATAATGTTCACTAGCAACATGGATTTCCTGGAAACAAATATATATTCCTAACTGGAAGTTTTAGCAGGATTCAACAAATCTTGGATAAGTAACATAAAATCGAGCACACTCCTATCTAGTCAGCACAGGTGTCAAATTTATAAAAAATTCTAGCATACCATATTATTTACCACGGCAATCTTTTAGTCGTAATGGTAAAAGTCCAAACTAAACAGTTGTAAAAGTTTAAATATGAAACTTATGAAATAATTCAACGAAGGAAAACCTCAAATACTTGCTTTCTTAATGAACATAGACAAGAAATCTTCGCCCTAAAAACTAAACCCTTTTTCAGAAACTAAAATCCAATTTGGCTTGTCGAAGTACCAAAATATTATAAGATCACATTACTAGAGATTACCAATCATGATAGCAGGAATTCAAAGTTCAAATAAGAAATGAAGGATCACAAGAAATCCTCACCTCTGTAACCTAGAACAGTAGACCCAGCAACAAAACCACCAACAGCTCCATTGATAAAGTCTCTTTTCATCCGATAATTCTGTACAAGCTGCTCAACGCCAATGTACACTCCCCCAATTGCAGCAAATGTTACCCCGTAGTTTCCCATCATCCTCAGGGTCCTTATCAGCCCAGGAAGAGCAACATTTCTCTCAACACGAGGCACATCATACCAAGTAGCAACTATGGTTCCAAAGATAGTTCCAGTAACAAATCCATTTGTTGCACCCTTAAGTGTCTTCACTAGAGGAGTATCCTCATCCTCCAAATACCTACGCTCTGCAGGGTCCAAGGAGTCCATGACTGTCTACTAACCTGGCACAATAAAAACTGCAGGCAAATAACACATATATCAGCACTCACGCCCCGTTCGCTAAACGATCTTTCAGCTTATACAATGCAAGACAAAAAAGAAACTACATTGTCCTCTTCCGCTATGGGCAATCAAAATTTAAGCTTCACTGGGTTTGAATCTTACAAAGTGACCATTACTGCAAACCCAAATTTCATTTCTTGGAGAAATTTATCCACAGTAGCATACTAAGCATTCGGGAAAGAAAGTAAATAAATCCCAAATTTCAATTCTTTTAAAAACCATCGACATAGATGCAATTAAACACAAATTCCCCCCAAAAAAACCAAATATTTGGTGATAATTATCACCAAAATTCACGTTGATTCGAGAAAAATCGAAGCCGAAGATCCAATCATCAATAATATAACAAATTAACTAACAAGCCGAAACCCTAAATTTGTAAGGAAAAAAAAATGATCGAGGATTTGAATCCATGAAAGAGCCAACCAGAAAGCAGCAGCTCATCAGAAAATGTAAATTACCTTCGATGGGAAAATCAGAAGTCGGCGATTTCTACTCAGTTCTCACTACGAACACAGGAACAAAGACCATCTGAGAAAACATGGGAGGAAACGAAATTTTTAGCTATTGCTTGCTCCTCCTTACACTAGATTATCATTGCTTCCGCACTGACAATTTTGCCCCTCCCTAAAATTGGCTCTTGTATTTAGTAGTTGGTAAAGGAAAAGAGTCCGAATCCACTTTGTGAGAATTTTAGGAATTCTCATATCTTAACCGTTTATTGTATATCGTACAATACAGTTTTCGTCATATATTATTTGTGTTTTAAATAAAAAAAGTCAAATGATTTTTTATCGCACTTGCACGATGAATGACTAAGATGTGAGGATCCCCATAATTTGAATCCGGATGTGATCCAAATCCGTTGGTAAATGGTCTTAACAAGTCGGGCCAAGCCGAATATCATAATGATTAAATTGAGCTTGTTGTTACTTAGTATTACGGTCTGATGATATTTTTGTTCACTAGTAAGTGCGATGTCTTATATTCGATTCTTGCCAAAAGCAAATTTGAATCACATTATTGCTAACCCATTATGAGGCTTAGTTCACTCCCTCAACCCCTCAATGTAGATACTATCGTTTGTTAAAAAAAAAAAATGAGCTTGTTTAAAATTTAGCAAGCAAAGCACTTGTATTGTCCTTTGTTAAGGGTATTCGCTCTTAGGATCATAAGTTTTATTCTCATTTTTTCGATATCATTTATATATGAGAAAAACTATCGAGCTTCGGCTTGATTTAATTTGTGCTTTTAACGAATCAAGCTTGAACATGTTGAAAGAAAGTTGAGTTCAAGTTGTATCGAGCTTTAAGTTACAATCATATAAATGACGGGCTTATATAACAAGTCCAGTTTCAGCAAAATTAATGATGAATGTTAGGGTTCTAGGTCGAATTGATACAATTCGAGTATGTATTGAGCTTGATTTTCATTTGGATTGTCAAGTAAGTTTTGGCTCATAGTTGTAACTAGCTTTGACAAATGACTTGTATTCACCATGCTCATGTTAATTTTTTTTATCTAAACGAATCCTATCGTATAAACATATTCAACTAATGGTTGGAAAATCAAAACTCAAATTCTATCCATTAAGATAATGTGTTACACAATTCGTTAGTTAACTAGTCTCTAACGGATCACTAAAAGTTGAGACAAACGCAGTATAATAAGAGATTTATTTTTATATAAATATATAAAAGTCACATCACACATTGATGGTGGATTGATCACATTTTTTTAGAGTATGAATCTCACATTGAGGGAAAAAAAGGTATTGCATGTGCTTATAAGTAAGTGGAACCATGATTTTCTAGGCCATGACACGTGACGCTTAGGGTGGTTAGAATGACCAAAAAGGCCTTAGAGTGAGATGTAAACTACATGGGTGCTCAGGATTGTACTACCACAAATCATAGTATCCTGGCATGGCTCCATTAGCTTTAAGGCCATTACAAGTAATAGGGAAACTCTAATTGAAGTCAAATTATGATATCTTGGGAACGTAATCATAATCCTTGGAGAATGAGATATCTTATTTTAAAAGGAAAACTAATGAAAATGACTTGAAAACTTTGAGTTTTAACGATAAGGACAAAATAAAGGTAAAGTGAATAGTAACAGGATTGATTTTTTAGTGTAAAAATGTGGTTTTTCGTTAGAGTGAAGAATACCGGAAGCTTTTAATTAAAGTTCCTTGTTTTAAATTTCCTCCTAGACAGTCTCCATATTTAATTGAGATTATTCTTTCAATATCTCTACAAATACTCAAGCTCTCTCTAATAAGTCTCTGATGGTGAAGAGTCTCTCATACAATTGATATTCTCTAACATAGGCTCATATATTCTCCAATACATGCCGTTTGTCTGCGTATAGATATGGAGAAGCATCTGCTACATGTTCGAAATTGTACCGTACTTCAAAATATTTTCTGAAATTTTTAATATATATATTATTCTCTAATTGACATATACCCAAGTCCTATATTAAAATAAAATGAGCCATATTCTATCCGTCAATGATGGTTAACGATGTTGCACATTTCACACCAGGCAATTGGGTTGCAATTGCAGCCAGTCCATAAGGTGGGCTGGTGAAAAAGAAAAAAGTATCTTTGTCCAATACAGAGTCATGGTGATATTGTAATTCAAGCACCCAATTCCGATTATTTTAACTTTTTCACGTGTTAAGTTGTGTTTGTTGTGACAATAGTAGGAAAAAAAAATACTCTACAATATGGAATACTTTTGTTGCATTATTTCAAGTCAATGGTGTGTTTTCGTGCTTTAACTTTTATACGTGCATTATTGGTTTAACATAAGATCATTTTAGCATCTTGTTGCGTCATGTTAGTGTTGTCAGATGAAAAAAAAAAAGCGCGTCAGTAACAAAAAAAAAAGTTTGATGAATTGAAGTTACAACGAAAGAGAGGAAATTTCGTGTCAACTCCAATTCTTCTACTTTATCACATTCACATTGAAAGGTAGTAGGTAGGAAATTGCCTCGTTGGCAGGGAGAAAGGCATGAGGATTGATATATATAACAAGAGAGTCCGTTGTCCATACCATACCGCATATTCCAATTCTTTGAGAGGCTATTTTCTTTAGTTTATGGTCTGGCTTTAATCCTTGTATGGCCAATCAACTCGTCTTTTCTTCTTCCTTGAGCAGTACTCCTTCATGGGGATACGATGTGTTTTTGAGTTTCAGAGGTGAGGATACACGCATCAATTTTATACATCATTTATACCATACCTTGGTTGAAACGGAATCAACATCTTCATTGATCATCGTGAACTTTCAAGTGGAGAAGAAATATCACCTCAAAGCAATTCAATAGTCGAGAATTCCTATAATCGTATTCTCTGAAAACTATGCTTCTTCAAGATGGTGCTTAGACAAACTCGTACATATCCTTGAATGTAGAAAGTCAAGGGGACAAATGACAAGGCCAATTTTCTACAAGGTGGATCCATCGGATGTTCGACACCAAAGAAATAGTTATGGTGCTACGTTTGTTGACCATAGCCGCAAATATGAGAATAACCTGGAGAAGGTGCAAAGATGGAGGACAACTCTTACATAAGCAGCAACTCTGAAGGGAGCTACTCTCAACAAGGGCGAGTACGTTTATTTCTGACCCTTATACTACTTTATATGGTTTTCTAGTTTCTTCGCTAGCTCTATTTATACTTCAGAATTCACTCAATTACAATATAAGAATTTAGTTTGGTTGAAATTTGATAAAAAATTCTTAAAGAAACCGAACCGAACCGAACCGAACCATAATCACCAATTTGGTTAGGTTTGATTTGAGCGGTTTTAGGCCTAAATCTAATATTTTTTTTCTTTTGCAATTTTTTTACTTTTTTAGCACTTAGCGTAGCCCAACAACAACAAAAAATTCCAAAATCTGCCACATATTAATCATTTTTTAGTACATCAAACAATGCATCCTAAAATTCATCATGTCATCAAACCTTAATATAACTCTACGATATCAATATATTTATATTCAACATCCTTATCTAGTTATTAGCCAATAAGAGTACTAAATGGGTTAAATGAAATTAATATTAAGAACAAATATGTGAGTAGTCGGTTTGATCGGTTTAAAACGGTTTACAAAAACTTAAAATTGTAACCGCAATCAATTCATTACTAGGTGTGATTTTTTTATACCACATTAACATACTAGCCAAATTATCAACTGTACCACATGATTTTGTGCCAATTTTGTTACCAATTAGTAATGGTATGCTAATTGTACCATACCAACATAATTGGTATGTTATTGGGATATAAAATCAATACCATTGATATACCGTACCATACAATATAATTATTATATATACTTATATTTATATATAATTAATTAAATATAAAACTATATATAATTTTCATATATAAAACTAAGGAAATTGTCAATTAAGTATCCAAATGCTTCTACATCCCAAAGTTGAAGAAATTTTGACCGAGGAATAAATTTTTAAAATGTAGATACACTTTTCATTTTCATTTTATTTGTAAATTTAACTTCTGTTTGGTTTGTTATTTTTTATTTTTCTTTTGCAATTTTCTTTAGTTTGTACTTCAACTTCCATTTGATTTAGTTTGTAACTTCTATTTGGTTTTTAACTTTAATTTGTATCTTAAATTTTGATGCATGCTTGACTTACTAAATATGTCTGAATTGAGAGTGAAGGATCTTGATTATAGATAACAAGTATGTTAGATTATTACCCCAATGATTAAAAATGGGGTTAAGTAACAACTTATTATGTGTATATTATTTCATCTATATATTATTTCATCTATTATGTGCAACACAACTCTTAAAAAAATTCTAAAATTCCCAACAATAAAAAAATTTTGCCAATTTTTTATTTATTTTTGTTAGGAGAATACAATAATATCAATTGAGCCCTAATTTATAACTGTTATTCTCTCTTTATTTGAAAATTATTGATTTAGCTTGACTTGTTTTATTAGCACACTACATATTATTAAATGATTTATATAATTATTGTTTAGGCCTAAGAAGATTTAAAAACCAAACAAAAATTTTGAATACCCCAAAATCACTTTTAATGTGCATCCCAAAATTATTTTTCTTCAAGCTCTCAAAACCACTCCCACCCTCCATTATAAACAAAACTCTAACCAATAAAAGTAAAAATCCATTGATAAACTTTATTTTATGCATTGTATGTCACTTTCTAATTTGAAATCAACAGAAATGCATGCATAATCATATAGTATATAGTATTTAAAGTGTATTCAACAATATGTGAAGTGTATTTAGTATGTAGAGTATATTCAACTGTACGTGTGGTGTGAATAAAATAACCCTAAATGTCATTAGATTGAGAAAAAGATTATATTTGTAAAAGGAAAGTAGTAAATTCTGAAATAAAGAGTAAAGCAACTCAAAAACCATATACAAGAAGGTTAGAAATAAACGTACTCTCCCTCATTGAGAGTAGCTCCTTTCATATTTGCTACTTCTATAAAAGTTGTCCTCCATCTTTGCACCTTTTCCAGGTCATTCTCATATTTACTACTATGGTCAGCAAACGCAGCACCATAACTATTTGTTTGGTGTCGGACATCCGATGGATACACCTTGTAGAAAATTGGCCTTGTCATTTGTCCTTTGACTTTCTACATTCAAGGATATGTACGAGCTCGTCCAAGCACCATTTTGAAGATGCGTAGTTTTCAGAAAATACGATGACAGAAATTCTCGACTTTTCAATTGCTTCGAGAAGAGTCGGTGATATTTTTTCTCCTGTTGGAAGTTCAAGATAATCAATGAAGGTGTTGATTCCGTGACGGACCAAGGCATGGTATAGATGATCTGTAAAATTGATGCGTGTATCCTTTCCTCTAAAGCTCAAAAAGACATCATATGTCCATGAAGGAGTACCGCTGAAGGAAGAAGAAGGGACAAGTTGATTGGCCATAGGAGAATTAAAGCCAAACCATAAATTAAAAAAGAAAAGGAGCCTCTCAAAGAATTGGAATATGCAGTATGATTTGGTGTATGGACAATGGACTCTCTCTTGTTATATATGTACAAGTCCTCAAGCTTTCCTCCCTACCTACGTGGCAGCTTCCTACTTACCACCTTTCAATGTGAATGTGATGAAGCGGAAGGATTAAAGTTGACGGTTGACACAAAAAATTTTCACTCTTTCGGTGTAACTCCATTTCGAAATAATTTGTTTTTTTTTTTTGTTACTGATGCATTATTTTTCTGTATGCCAAATATATACATCAATACTGTTATTAGTTAGGAACAGCTCATCTACAAATATTCATCTTTTTTTTTCCAGGTTACATGATAAAATGATTCTCTTGGACAAATCACTTTTCCTTTCTCTTTTTCTTTTTATGTGAGAAAAATAAAGACAAGTACATCATGCAAAGCGTAATGATGAAATGCAATTTCTTTTATATAAAAACTTATTAATTAGCTACCACAAATCTACAGGAAATCAAATTAACCACTGGCATGCCATCAAATGTACATGTTTGGATTTTTATTTTTATACAACAATATATTTACATTATAAATGGACAAAAAAAAAATACCCATACAACACCGTAAAAGAATATGAAGCACATAAAAAAATGCATGGAAAAGAAATGCTGTTCTCCCTACCTACGGAGCAGTTTCCTAGATACTGGTGACCTTTCAATGTGAATGTGGTCAAGTTGAAAGATAGGGACCTTCTTGGAAATTTCATTTCAAAAATGGGTATTAATTTAAAGGTAAGGTTAAGAAAGCTAAATTTATAAAGTAAATTACATGAAAGTTAACGATTGTGTTATTACTTAGATATTGATTAACATGCTTATTTTTTTATTGATGACACATTAATTACTTTATAAATTTAATCTACAAATTCAGTCTCTTCACGTTATTTTTAAATTAAAGGAGATGAAGTTTCGTTCCAAGCTACTACTTACTACTTTCGATGTAATAATCACAGACGACATTTGGTACGCGATCTTTAATTTGACGAAGAATTTGTCTTATTCATTTGTTTTGTTTTACTTTTTGAAACTTTTTGCTTCTCTGACGAGTGACCGACTCACTATGGTTTGTCTGTATTCTATTATTCATTGATATTTGTCATCACCTGTGGTGTGACATCCCACATCGTCTAGGAGAGTGGTCCTTTGAGAGCTCACTAGCTTTGGGTTTCATCGAAACTCCGAAGTTAAGCGAGTAGCGCGCGAAAGCACTCCCAAGATGAGTGACCCATCAGGAAGTTCTCGTGTGAGTTCCCAGAAACAAAACCATGAGGACATGATCAGGATCTAAAGTGGATAATATCGTATTACGATGGTGGAGCGGGCTCGGGAAGTGATCTGCCCCGGACCGGAATGTGACATGTGGCCTTTCTTCACCAATGAATTTATAATTCCGAACCATTTCCCTATTTTCAAAGCCCACATCTTTGCTTTTTATTCGCTGGAATTAATTAATAGCTAGGTTGAATAATGAGCCACACATGATTTACCTCTATTTTAATGTGACGAGAATGAGCATGAAAGACCGCATTCGAACTGTTTGAATGTGTCTTGCACATGGGTTAGCTTGTATCTAAAGTTCACTGAAAGTAATAATTAATATATATTTTCTGTAAAAATTGTTAAAAAGATTCTCTCAAAATTAGATTTTTTATGAATTCTCTGTCATTGTCATGGCCTAATTTGAAATCGGTGAAGGAATTGACCCCACACCCAATGCGCGAGTAAAAATAAAATAAATAAAAAGAAACTAAAACGAATTTTGAAAAATAGTTCATTTAAAAACGATGAAGCATAAGTAGACTAGTAGGTCGGAATGAATTGAAATTGATTTATTAATTTACGAGTCAAATACACAATAAAACAAAGTTTACCACAATACAATAATCACCATTAAACTTCACATACATCTCTTGAATCCCTTAATTCTCTAAATTGATCTGAAGCCTTAGATGCTTGGATTTGACTCCTTGATCACTGAGATGAAAACTGTATTGTCATCTGACTTAACTCAAGTTATGAAAATATAGTGAAGTTGGAAGGCTACATAGTTCCTTGACTCAGAAAACAAAGGGTGTTCTCCTCTTCATTCTTTTCTTTTTCATTGTGGCCCAATCAAAATTCTCTATGTGCTACCACATGTCAGCAAACAAGATCAACGTCCTTAGTTGGCTAGCTATCTATTTGCCACGTGGCCAGGTCAACCATTTATAGCTGCCACATGCCACCCATTATTTGTCCTCTAAACTCTTAAAAATATTTCGAAAGCCAACAAGATCCTCTTCGTATTCTTTTGGTGAGAATCTTAAATGTTCATGTCTATTTATAGTATATTGTGCGGTCAGTTTTTGTCAAGTACTGTTTGTGTTTAATTTTAAATAAAAATATTGAAAATAATTTATAATCACACGATGTACAATGAACAGACATAATTTATAGATAAAAATATTTTAAATAAAAATATTTAAAATAATTTATGATCACACATAATTCACGATGTACAAGCTCAAGCAGCAGGGAGATATTTGTCAGGTTATATTTCGCTTCCCCAAATCTGCAAACATTAAAAGCTGCGGGGTGCACCTCTTATTGCGCAACCAAAACAAACGGCTTCCCTTGACTTTGGGACCTACGAGTAGTCTTGGGAAGAGGTGGCTTTCCTTATCTTTGGAGCCAGCGGATGATCATCGGAAATGCAGGCAGATAATGCGCGGTAATGAGATTTTGAAATTTTAACAAACACCACCTCAATTCCTATTTAGTTACCATTATGCAGCTGATGGCAAACAATCATATTGTTTGAATCAATTCCTAATTGGCATTAAGAGCAAGTAAATACTTCTGTGACTTGTTCTTGGATAATTCATAATAGTAAATTCTTTAAATAATGGATTTCCGATTCAATATTTTTACTTTTTTTTTTTTTTCGTATCATCATTCAACGATGTTTGTGCAATGTGAAAGATTAAAAAGCACATTAATATAAATTAAATTAATATAATACAAACTAATTACACATCCAAAAAACAAATATTTGAGAAAATAAACCCACTTACGGAGGTTCTCGAACTGAACCCTCAGGCTTTTGGCGGCTGCTCTGCAAAAAAAGTAGGAAAATATATAATTTCCGATTGAATTCACAAATTAAAAAAAAATGCAGAGAGAGTGAAAATTGAAATCACTCCTAAGTAAAGGTCGAAGAGATTGAAAACTGCCACACGTGCGGGGTGGAACTGGTACGAAGACTCAAAAAGCCTCACCGGAAAAGCCGTACAGCAACTTACCTACGATTCACCTCAAACGTAGCGAATCGAGACATGAAATGGGTGGTTTTAGTTCCTGAGATAATGGGGAAAAGCTTGGTGGTAACAGCAAGGTCCGGTTAACCGGCGTTCGGCCGGGAAAAGCTCGCCGGACTTTGGCACCGAAAGCCGCACAGAGAAGAGCGAGAGGAAGAGAGGGAAGGAAGAAAAAACACGGAATAGAAATTAAACGAGGGCAAAATAGGAAATACACTGTGTTTATGAAAGTGTTTTAGAGTAGAATCAGCTTAAGTTTGTGACTTGGGTCTTGTTTGATAGCTCGTATAAGGGACCGAATAATGCAAATAATACGAACCCAGCGTTTGGTGCATAATGTGTAAAATAGCTACTGGACAAAACAATCCGGTCTCACAATTTAATACAGCCTACACCAGCTTGGTTATCCTTTCTTATACGCCGGTATAATTTAGTCGGGCGTTCGCTTCTCTCTAACCCTCTCTACTCCTACGCATCGCGACCAAGGTGTTCCTGCTCTTTCTCCCTCCCTCTATCCTAACTGCCAGTAGAGGCTTCGGTGACGGAGGAGCCCAAGAAGGAAGGACAGCCAGCTAGGCAAACGAAACTCAAAACTCCATAAGAGAGGAACCCCGTACAGCCAAAACCCAATACTATAACCGTCACTCATCCTCCATACTTTCAGTTACTTTAATTCGTAATTTCAGATCCCGGTTTCTTCACTTTTTTTGCTTCTGGGTTTTCTACTTTCAGGCACTTTAATTCGCGATTTCATATCGATTTCTTCATTTTCTCCATTCTTTTACTTCTGGGTTTTCAATTAAGGTGCTCGAATCGAGATTTCTGATTCAATTTTTGCATCTGGAGGAAGACTCCAGTGCTGCAGTGGAAGAACGCGGCAACGAGAGGGAAGCTGATCAAGATCAGGGCTTCGTACAAGCTATTCAAGGCAAGCAAGATGGAGAAATGTGCACAAACAAAGATCAAAACGAACTCATTTGTGGATTATTCTATCAATTTCTTTTCCCTTTTATTCAATTTATTAACAATTTTTTTCTTAAAACTAATATGGAAATTGTATTTTCATAAAATAAAAAAAAAATGTGAATTGTTATTAGCACTTCTAAAATCTTATTTGGTACTCCAAATTTTATATAATTAGAAAAAAAAATACACTTGTAAGGAGTGTAGAATGAGATTTTTGGAGTGATAATAACAGTTCCCAAAAAAATAATAACAATACGATTTATATGGTACGGTACCAAACACAGTATTAAATAGTTGATCTTTAGTCCGATATTGCACCAAACGTATGACTAATTTAGTCAATCCAATTCGATGACTATTTATCTTATCTGACTAAAATAATTAGTACAGTTTGAGTTACCAAACGAGGTCTTACAAATTAACTCAATCGCAATATCAAAACTAATAAATCGTAGCCTAAAATGTTCAAAATCCCTGTCTCAAACCTTCGAAATCGAAGCTCCAATATTCGTAATCGCAACCTCAAATCTCTGAAATCGCAGAAGTCCAAATTATACATTAAAAATCAGTCCAATCAGTTATTCCAAAACAAAATAAAAAACAAACTCAGAAAAATGAAAAAAAAAAAAAAAAAAAAGGCAAATTGAAACAATTCAATCCAATCGCAGCAAACGATTCAGCGCTCAAGAATACTAAATTACTTCGGATCTCAATAGATCAAAATCCTAACGGAATCGTTTGCAGCTTGAATTTGGACCATACAAGTGCGAAACGAGTCGAAATCGTATTGAAAGAAGAATATCTATGAAATCGTAGCTTCTAAATCTAAATTGTATTGATTATGAGTTCCATACCAATATGTTTTGGTTGGACCGTCATTATTATGTTACTTAGTCTAAACCTTTCACCTCACATAGTGTAAATGTATTGTTGTATAAAAATAATAATCCAAACATGCACAATTGATGGCATGCCAATGGTTAATTTGATTTCCTGCAGATTTGTGGTGCTAGTTAATTTTTTTTTTTTTTTTTATGTAAAAGGAATCGCATTTCATCAGTACGCTTTGCATGATATTCTTGTCTTTATTCTTCTCACATAAACAGAAAAAGAGAAAGAAAGATGATTTGTTCAAGAGAATCATTTTATCATGTAACTGAAAGAAAAAGGTGAATAATTGTAGCTGAGCTGTTCCCAACTAATAAAAGTGTGAAGGGACGAGGAATACACCCAGATAAAGACTAAGGTGGGCGGGTCAAAAAGAAAAAGTATCTATGTTGGGCATGGAATCATGGTAATATTGTAATTCAATCACTCAATTTCGATCATTTTAACTTTCTCGCATGTCAGGTTATGTTTGCTGTTATAATAGCAGGAGAAAAGCTCTATAATATGAAATACTTTTGTTGCATTATGATTGGTTTGACATACGATCATTTTAGAATTTTGTTGCATCGTGTTAGTGTTGTCAGATGAAAAAAAGTGCGCGTCAATAACGGAAAAAAAAAAAAAAAAAGAAACAGGTTTGATGAATTGAAATTGCAACGAAAGATATGAAATTTCGTGTGAACTCCAATTCTTCTACTTTATCACATTCACATTGAAAGGTAGTAGGTAAGAAATTGCTTCGTTGGTAGGGAGAAAGGCATGAGAATTGATATATATAACAAGAGAGTCCATTGTCCAAAGATAGTACGTAGGAAATTGCTTCGTTGGTAGGGAGAAGGGCATGAGGATTGATACATATAACAAGAGAGTCCATTGTCCATACCATACCGCATATTCCAATTCTTTGAGAGGCTCTTTTCTTTAGTTCATCTGGCTTTAACTCTCCTATGGCCAATCAACTCGTCTCTTCTTCTTCCTTGAGCAGTACTCCTTCATGGAGATACGATGTGTTTTTGAGTTTTAAAGGTGAGGATACACGCACCAATTTACAGATCATTTATATCATGCCTTGGTCCCTCACTGAATCAACACCTTCATTGATCATCATGAACTTCCAACAAGAAAAGAAATATCACCGACTCTTCTCAAAGCAATTGAAAAGTCAAGAATTTCTATCATCATATTCTCTGAAAACTATGCATGTCCAAGATGGTGCTTGGACGAGCTCGTACATATCCTTAAATGTAGAAAGTCAAAGGGAACCGAACCAAACAAAACCATAATCAACAATTTGGTTAGGTTTGATTTGAGCGGTTTTAGGCCTAAATTTTTCTTTTTTCTTTTGCAATTTTTTTTTTTTTACTTTATTAGCACTTAGCGTAGCCCAACAACAACAAAAAATTCCAAAATCTGCAACATATTAAACATTTTTTAGTACATCAAACAATGCATCCTAAAATTCATCATGTCATCAAACTTTAATATAACTCTACGATATCAATATCCTTATATTCAACATCCTTATCTAGTTATTAGCCAATAAGAGCACTAAATGGGTGAAATGAAATTAATATAAGAACAAATATGTGAGTAGTCGGTTTGATTTGGTTTAGAACGGTTTACAAAAACTTGATGCGTGGCTTGACTTACTAAATATGCCTGAAATGTGAGTGATGGATCTTGATTATAGATAACAAGTATATTAGATTACCTCAATGATTAAAAATGGGGTTAAGTAACAACTTATTATGTGTACATTATTTCATCTACATATATATAAAGGGAGATGCCAAAGATGATGAAACTTTCATAATACCCAAATCACCCTTCTCCCAATAAGATTTCAAAAAATAAAAAAGAAATTCACATAGTAGGATTGTGGGTAGTTTCGTTTATTATTTGAATGGAACTTGGTTGCTGAAAAATCAGCAGCAGCTTATGCTGCTCACCAATCACAGATGGACACGTGTCTAAGTGATTGATTTTTTAATCACAGATTGGACACGTGTCCATCTGTGATTGGTGAGCAGCAGGAGCTGCAGCTGATTTTTTCAACAGCAAAGTTCTTTCTTATTATTTTTAATATAACATATATTATTTGTTCAATAAAATATATTTTAATAAAATAATAATAATAATATTTAAAATAAGTAAAATTAAAAAAAATAAAAAAATAAAAAAGAGCCAATTGCCAACTTGTAGCAAGACGCTAGTGATTGATATGCATTTTGAGGGCTGAAAATTTTGGACAAGAACCTCTCCGGATTCTCTTTGTAGGGATATGGGGATCAATCAATCGTGTCCATTTATCGTATATTGTGGGACTAATTTTTGTTAGGTATTATTTGTATTCAATTTTAAATATGGAAATTGTAAGATGTACGATCAACGAACACAATTGATGTATGATTTCTAACCGCACGATGTACGATGAACAAACACGATTGATTGATCATCCGGATCCCCACAAAGAGGATCCGGAGAAGATTCTATTCTGAAAATTTTGGGTTACAATATAAGAATTAAAAAAAAGTAATAATAATTAGTTTTCGGCCAAAAAAAGTCATCAATGGATTAGACCATAAAAAAAAGGGTTAAATTTAATGAAATAGGCCACGACATTGGCTGTGTCATTAGAGTACCATGCAAACAAAATTAAATGTGTCATTAATTTTTTTTTGGTAGGTATGAAACTACATTTATTAGCGGCATCGTTGAGGAGATTTCAACCCAAGTATTAAATCGCACATATTTGCATGTGGCCAAACACCTAGTTGGAATAGAGTCCTGTGTAGAAAAGGTGGAAGAGCTTTTAGGTGTCGTGGAAATGATCGTTGTGTGGTTGGGATTTGGGGGACATCGGGAATAGGCAAGATCACAATTGCAAAAGCTGTTCATAATGCAATTGTTCATAAGTTTGGAGGTAGTTGTTTTCTTAATTCTTGAAGGAATTAGTCTTATTAAGAATCAGTTGAGTCAAAAGAAGATTCTCTTAATTCTTGATGATGTGGATCAATTGAAGCAGTTAAACAACTTGGGTCAAGAGATCAGTTGGTTCGGTGAGAGTAGCAGAGTAATCATTACCACAAAAGATAGAGGATTGTTGGACTCTTATGGAGTCAAGTTGGTATACGAGGTCCAAACGTTAGAAGAAGGCAAAGCTCTTGAGCTTTTAAGTTTGTTGATGCATAAAATCGGCGAAGACTTTGGTACAACGGAAAGTGTCAAGTTTGTAACCTTCGCTAGGTTGCTCTGGTCATTAGTGTGGATAAGTATGTAAATGAATAGAGACAGGGAAGCAAATAACACAAGATGTACGTGGTTCACCCAGATTGGCTACGTCGACAGAGTAGATGAGTTCTCATTAGTTGTGAAGGGTTTACATAAATACATAGGTTCAAGCTCTCTTTTTGTGAGTTCTAGTGAATAGTTTAGTACAAATGATA